CGAACCTCAAACCGTCAGTAGATTATGACCAGCTATAACAAATACATGTAACAAGGGTGCAGCGACCTCTTATCGAACCTCGAACCGTCAGTAGATTATGACCAGCTATAACAAATACATGTAACAAGGGTGCAGCGACCTCTTACCGAACCTCGAACCGTCAGTAGATTATGACCAGTTATAACAAATACATGTAACAAGGGTGCAGCGACCTCTTACCGAACCTCGAACCGTCAGTAGATTATGACCAGTTATAACAAATACATGTAACAAAGGTGTGCTCCTTCTTACAATTCACAAAAACCCTGAAATGAGTGTTTGGCCCAGTTCGTTCAGAGTCGAATAGAACAACTCCCTCAATCACTTAGGGATCAATAATATATTCTTAATATTTGAGAATTTGTTTTAAATCTAGACACAACAACTTTTTTTCATCTCTCTCTGTTATGATAGGACTTACATTCCTTGAGAAATAGGTACACTTGAAGAAGACAAGTAAGAATACAGCACGATTTTACGATCAAGAGGGATGCAATTCATTCATCTACAGTTTTCGCACAGAAATTACAAACACTATCAACCTCTGAGATGCCATGGTTTAAATGGAACAGAATTTTTAGCTCAGCTATTGGAATATTTGAAAATAATTTGTGTGTCGTTCTTTAGAATTTTAAGGTAGCGACTTACGTTCATGGCTAATTTTAAGGTTTTTTTTTTTATTTTCTGAATTTATATCAAATTATCCAAGTTACAATAATAACTTTATTACACAACTGCACAATTACGTTTATAAGTAATGATCATACACATTAAAAAAACTTTCTTCATTTTAACTTTATTTATTGAATGTTGTATTATGTGCAACTAATAGAAATTGTATTTGTAAGAAAGCAATAAATTATTTTCCCAAAGTAAACTTGGAGATCAAACAGAACAGTAAGCTAAAGTACTATGAAAAACATTATTTATTTAGCAGCAACTTATAAACTATAAATTTGATGTTGTTTAGTTTATAAGATTTGCCCGTTACCCATGAATACATTGATGTAGTATTAATCTAAGTATTTTTGTTTTTTTTAAATATGGGGGGGGGGTAATAAATCATAACTACGAAATCATCTCTATTTCATATCTGAAGAAACAAACAAATATTTATTTGTAAGTAATCTTTATTGCTATTGTATCCAATTTGAGATCTTGACATAAAATACAATAAAGTCAAATACATGTAACAAAAACAAAAATAATATTGTAAATAAATGAAATAAATACATATCTCAAAATAAGAAATAAGAAATGAATAATTGTAATATAAATTGTATATTGTTTGTATTGAATTTAAATGAATTTAAATGAATGGGGCTGCAAGTAATAATACTAGTTGTAAATTCAGACTTCAAACCGAACATGAGATTCCGGTATTGACTTCTTAAAGTACAAACAATACAGGATGTTGTTGTACTCGTATTCCGGATGCGGGCTCTGAAAAGGATGACGGCATCCCAACATAACGGTCTAATCTAAGTGAGTGTAGTTACACAAAAAACACCCTAATTCAATATTTATTGGAACTGATTTGGGTCAATATTTAAAAAAAAAATGCATCAATACAAAATTTCTAGTATCAATTGAAGCAAGTGAAAATGTTTGCGTAACATTGATGGAATCTTACCCGAGATCTTTTCAGAGATCTTTTCCAATTTCCACATCTTCCTCGTAGAATTACGGTCAGCGGTAAATGATCTCTTCTGCTAAGTAATTTGTGGCTCTCCAAACTGAAGGAAATTATTAAACGTGAACTAGCATGTTATAAATTTAAGAAACAGCCCGAATCTGCCAGCGAGCGCCGCACCGTTACTCCATTGGCGATACATCAATAATAGCGCCATTTTGAATGGACCATACCAAAAACACTGATCTTATAGGGTGAACAGCTTTCCTCTGCACATAGTTCGTGTAACTATCGCGCGAAACATCGGTTCGAAATACAATCCGGAATTTCATATTCTCCGGCATATTGATTATTTAATTTTGTGTTGATAAACGTAAGACAGCAAAGTTTATTCGCGTAACATCAAATTAATTCGAGTCACATTGAAAATGGCAGGAACAAAATTTCCAATCTTACACCCCCTCAAGACTTTAAAATGTTATGATCCAAACAAGTGTGGAAAAAATGTTTTAGATGCCTGTACATTTTACGTTCGTTGTATACGAAGCATGGGACCCGTTTGTCCTTGAAATTACATTCTAATTCATTGTAATTAGAGAATACAAATATAAGTTGTTATGAATATGCTAAGTTGTACTTTTTAAATGTAGTGAACAAGATAATGATTTTCGGACTGTTTTTTATTTTTATTTTTTTTTACTTTTGACTTCCTAAAACCGATGGTGGTGAATAATGACGTCATTCACAGTGTGTTTTAGCTCAGACAACTAATGATTGAGGTTTTAGTCACAATTTATTTACTGTGCAGATTACATCTCATACAGTCTAAACGCACAGAAGCGGTGGCACGAAAATTTGCATGAGGGGCGAGATCTGAAATCTAGACCCTCTGAAACGCTATTTCCTGCATTTTGAGGGGCAAATTTGTTGACGCAAAGGGTTTCAGCTTGATTGCCCCCCCCCCCGTGCCGCCGCCACAGACGCAATTGAAAAGAACAAAGGCGCAGTGGCGACGTAACGGGGGGGGTGCCTCGAAACTGAAACCCTTAGTGTCAGCAAAATTGGTCCCTTAAATGCAGGAAGTGGCGTTTCAAAGGGTTTATATTTCAAAGTAAAAGGTCGCGCCATGTTGGTGAGCAGATCTCGCTCTTCCATATAACATTTCGTGCCGCCGCCTGTGTAGCGACATCGTCACAAACCCATCCAACTACATGCATTGGAAAATTACTCGATATAGCATTTTAAATAATAGGCTGATAACTTGAAACACTCTTACAACTTCAAAACAAAATAGTTTGGTTTCAGGAAAAATATACGAATAAAAAAATAACTGGTTAAGTAATTCAAAGAACAAAATGTTACATATACGAGTGTTGTCATGACAAATACATAAGAGAACGTACTTTAATTCCATACATCCCTTGTTTGTGCTTTAATTGATTATTCCGTCTATATCCTATATATAGATTCGAGTTAGAACGATCACCATATCTCTTGGGGAAAAATAGGCGTTCTGAAGGAAATCTTATTTCAATTATATAACATTATAACCTTGTGTCTGTCGAAAAACACTTTCCCAGATAAACTGAAAATCCCTCGCGTTAAACGAATGTGGAACAACATTCCGGCGGACAAAATCCCCACAAGCAATATCCCGAGGGAGAAATCCAAGTAGTAAAATTTAAAATATCAACGGTGTTATACGTTTGACAGGCAATACATTGCATAGAAACATTTAGTGTCGTATAAGGTATAATCTTGTATTCAATTTTATATGTTAAACATTAGTTTAAGTTATGCATGCTCGGGGCATGTAAATTTTACACATCGCTGCAAAGAGAAAAAATGTAGAATATTCCCATCTTGTATCTCATTTCTACACATTGTACTGTAGATTGTAGTGTATACGATTGATTGAACTATAGTATAAAATATGAGAGGCTGTAGAAAGGATACAAAAATGTTAAATCTTAGCACCGGAATTGTGATCGTTCACTGTACAGTATATCTTTGTATGTTATATTTCTGTTTTAAAATATTCGCCCTTTGTCAGAAAACGTGCAACATTCATAGCCAACGATACGCACGAAACCAAATAAATGAACAAATGTGTACGACTGAGCAACTGAAAAAAGCAAGTGTAAACAAATTGAAACATGAGGTCCATACTAATATGGGATTCCGCAGATTGCCCCCCTGCGTGCTTCACGCTCAAATCAGAAATTTCATGCAAATAACCGCATGATATTGTTCATTGTTTTGTTTTTATATGTACAAATACATGTATGAAACTATAGTGCAATATCGATAGTAATATGAAACGGATTTTTTTGTTGGGGAGTAAATGTAGTGTGTAGCAGTTAACTCCCCGGGGTAGGATTCGGGAAGACTATACCGGAACAGAACCAGACAGATCAGTTGTATGCAAAAAACACAGTGGTGGTTTATTGCCAGATAGACTGATATAGTAAGTAATAACAACAGATGAACACTGGTGAAATACACAAATTCTGAGTATATATACTCTCAGAACGAACGTGATAGAAAACACAACTCTATAAAGTAGCAATCGTAACATAAATATAAATTGGCGGGAATGTGTACGATAGGTCAATAACATCTCGCCTGTGATAGGCTAAAATTAAAACAATCTGATTGGCTGAGAGATTTATCTCAGAATCCGAGACGTAACATTACATGACTGCTTCTCTAAAAATTTTTTTTGGTGTGTTTTACAGTACAGTCTTGAAAAAAACTAGTATTTTCCAAAAATCGATATTTTTAGAATACTTTCATAAAATACAGGGCTTACAACATTTACATATATCACTGATATTATTAATCGTTTCACTCGAATATCTCCACTTTAGGAAACATGATAAAAGTGTTATGACACTTGCAAAATAGATGCCATTCATGAAAATACAAAAATGTTCTCAAAAAATAGATCGGTGACGCCAAACTCTTTGAAAGTCAATATTCTTACATTGACCGGACAGTCCTATCATATATTCCAAACTACTTGACTGTTTTCGATTTGCGTTTCCAGGAAATCAGATAAAGTGCGCCAGCAAGAGGTAGAGTACCATGTAGGTAGAATATTAAACACATTAAAATCAACACTGTGATTCGCATGTGTATTCCCATACATACATTAACCACATATAAAATACACAACTTGCGTTATATATATAATCAGAGACATCTCTGATATAATATTTGGAAGATTTGAGGCTATATAGATACAGTTTTTGATTTTTTTTATCTGGCTAAAAGTGAATCAGTGACTTAGAATAATGCGGGATGAGCTCAGTCATGAAAAGCTGTTTTGAAACACGGAAGCAGACTTTGATAAATAATCATGAGTCGTGTTACGCGCTCTGCCAAAAAAATGGGGAACGTGGTGTGTAGCCGGTTATTTGGCCTGCACGGGGAAGGGAAAAGAACAGTAGACGGCCAACAATATGACTGTCTGCAGCCTAAGGAGGAGGTGTCAGACACGACAAACGAAGGCAATGAAGAACGAGACGGGGATACAGAAAGTTGTGAAAAAAGTGATACAGTCTGCTGCGACCCAAAAGACCAAGCGACCAACGCAGGACCGATTTCGTTGTCGACCGGCAAGTACGGAAGTGATACAATTCCTAGTGTAGATAAGTGTAAACCCAACGGAGTGCCGCCTTTGACGACAGAGCCTGGAGCTGACGAAGACGATGCGCATCAAAAGCGCCAAGACGAGTCAACGGTGGTGAAGCCGAATGACCAGCACAAAAACAACAAAGAATCAAAAAACGAAAAAAGGGTGGAAGATGAGACCACACCACTGATAGCAATGCGAGAGGAAGGTAAGTCTAGTAAGACAACAATAAATGAGTCGGACCGTAGAGACGTCGAACAACTTGAAAATTGTGAAAACAGTAATACGGTCCATGGTAACTCAGAAGACGGTACGATCGACGCGCCATCGACAACGGGGCCCATGGAAGATGAAATTGAGACATGCCAAGAGCGCAAAGAATCACCCGAAAGTGAGTCATACAATGTAGTGGAGTCAGTGGTGGAGCCAAACGACCAGGCCGAGACAAATAAAATGTCAAATAACAAAATCCAAGAAACGCAACAAAAAATAGAAGTTGAGATTACGCAACCGACGACAGAGGGAGAGGAGGATAAATCTAAGACAGAGACCAGTCAAGTAAAGACAGAATGTAGTGAACTAGAATTGGAGAAAATTGTTCAATCAGAAATGGAGGAATGTGTTCCTAGTTTGGAGTCAACTGTAGAATTTGACGACAAATCAGACGAGACAGACAATCTTGAAGATTCACAAGATGATCAACTTACAGATGACACACTTAGCAATGAACAGATTGAAAGTTCACCACCATCAACAGACCCACAGTCCCAAGAATACAATACTGACGGAACTAGTGAATCATCAATGACAGAATATTGTTCCCAATCCCTAGAACATGAAGACTCAGATTCAGAGCCAGAAAAGGTCGCATCAACACGGCCGAGAACTCGTGGACAGGGTGCATCACCAAAGGTATGCTGTTATTGGCATTTTTTAATAGTCACCAAATAAGTATGATGGAGGACATTTTTTATTGCATGCACTTGAACCTGAAAATGTTTTACCATCAAAATGGTAAATTATTACCAAATCTAGACTGTAGTGTGTTCCCCGTCCAGACCGTTTGGGTGGTGTGTCACTAGAAGTCTGTAAACGCTGCTTAGATTTACTCCTTAAGCATGTAAAAGTCATGAAGAATAGGACAGTATCATTGCTGTGGCAACTAGCAGTCAATATAGTGCATGGGGAAAACATATAACCGTCACCCATTGTTTTGATTAGTATATTCAGATTAGGAGATTGGTATATTAGTCAATCAATTATTAGCCTGAACGTGTCGGCAAAATAGAAGCAGTATTTCAAAAATCTTGTGAAGTGGAAATCCAACTCACAGTAACCAGTCTACTCCATGGGTAGTGTGTTAAATTTACTATCGTAAAAACTATTTTACGGTAGCTAGGGTCTAGCTTTGGGTATGATTTCTTTCTTCCTTAACTCATAAAATAATAAATAACAGAAATGTTGTTGAATTTTTTTTTAGGCACGCAAGAGACCCAAGCTTACCACAGAGTGGAGTAGTAAGGATACCAGAGATTACAGAGACGGATACCCGGTAAGTTAAATAAAGTTTGAAAAATGAAAGTCATCCCAATGAATGAGGATTTAACTTCTAAGATCAAATTATCATGATGTAAAACTATTCCATATGATTGCACTGAAATTAACAAATTGTTAAGACCTTTTATGGTACAGTGAAATGCACAAAGCTGGGGCTTTGTTTATAAACATATTTTTTTAGCTCCGCTGTCGACTTTGTCAAGCGGAGCTTATCATATGAGTGATTGTCCGTCGTTGTCCGTGTCAATGTTTTACTTTTTCGACTTCTTCTTGAAAACTACAAGCCTGAATGCTTTGATACTTGGTGTATATGTACCTTGGGTAGACCGCTCTTAGGTTTGTTCATTTCATGTTGATATCTTCAATTCTCTAATTTTGGTGAATATTTTTGTCATTTTTGGTAAAAAGTGATATTTTCAACTTCTTGTTAAAAACCGCAAGTGCAATTGCTTTGATATTACATATATAGGTACTACATGTGGACCTTTCTCAGATTTGTTCATTTTGTAATGATATCTTTAATTCTCTAATTTTGGTGAATATTTTTGTCATTTTTGGTAAAAAGTGATATTTTCGATTTCTTGTTAAAAACCGCAAGTTCAATTGCTTTGATACTACATATATAGGTACTACATGTGGACCTTTCTCAGATTTGTTCATTTCGTGATGATATCTTCAATTCTCTAATTTTGGTGAATATTTTTGTCATTT